TGATCACTTCCCCAAAGTAGTACAGTGTTACTATGGTAACATTGTACTATTTTGGTCATAGTAAAATATGAAAAAAAAATCTTAAAAAAATAAAAAAAAATGTAATAAAAAATTAAATATAATAAAAAAATAAAAAAAAAATAATAAAAAAAATATATATTTTTTTTTCATACTGTCACCAGTCAGTGTCCCTGATCACCGCCATGCCAGTTATATGATGACGCTGTACTGCACTGGTGACAGTATGTAAAAAAAAAAAATAGTGAAAATAATTTTTTTAATTTTTTCATTTTCCGAAAAAATGACAAAAAAATACAACTTCAAAAAACTCGCCATGCCTCTTATGAAGTACGTCGGACTGTCTACTCTGCAAAAAGGGGTCATTTGGGGATATCTGTACTATTCTGACATTCTTGGACCTCAAGAAATTAGATTGGCTGTCAGTACTTCAGGATTGATCAATATTCAGATATATACCATAGTTTGTGAACTCTATAACTTTCCTACAAACTAAAAAATACATCCTAATTTGGGTTATTTTCACCAAAGACATGTAGCAGAATACATCTCGGCCTAAATTTATGAAGAACAATTATTTATTTGTAAACTTTTATAACAGAAACAAAGAAAAATGTGTTTTTTTTTCAAAATTTTTGGTCTTTTTTTGTTAATTTAGCAAAAAATAAAAACCCCAGCGGTGATTAAATACCACCAAAAGAAAGCTCTAGTTGTGTGAAGAAAATGATCAAATTTTAGTTTGGGTACAATGTTGTATGACCGCGCAATTGTTATTCAAAGTGTGAGACCGCTGAAACCTGAAAACTGGCCTGGGCAGGAAGGTGTAAAATTGCACGGTATTGAAACGGTTAAGCTTAAAGAAGCCGCTGTCAGTCGATGAACTCAGAGAAATGGATTCTATGGAGTACAAAAAAAAATCCAGTTTTTACTAACATATTTTACAACAAAAAAAAACCCATCGGTAACTGGTTGGTTCACTTTTCTCCAGAACACTGGTGTTGATGCTGATTGCCATCTTACCACCATGATATTGGGACCATATACCATTGATTGATTTTCCTTAAATGCCAACTACAGGGAAATGTAAATTATCCATTGCAGTGGGGTGCAAGGGTTCATGGTTTATTTTGCCTAGGGAAGTTACCCGATCCTCCACTCCCTCAGCAGATGGTGCTCCCCACATTCCAACGGTGGAGTGTCCTTCAGCATCATCACATCCAAAGCAGGACTGTGGACCATGCTTTGGTCTTGATGTCAGGATCCTAGACTGCTGGAGCGTAGCTGTAGGGAGGATCTGGTAAATAAACCTTACTTTTGTGTTCCCCTAGACCAGAATAACCAATTAACCCTTGCTGTGCAGGCAAAGCCCCACTGAAAGGAATGATTTTTTAGTTGCATGGAGTTGGACAAAACCTTTAATAAGAGAAAATATGAAGGCTGGATGCTTGGATGTCTCCAGTTGCAATACTTTAACAGAGTGGGAACAAGAGAGCAGCAGTGAATTCCAAGTTAAACATATAATTAGATATTAACCAAACTTACCCCTAAACTTCCCTTTTCCCCTTTAATTCATGTCCCAACATTATTGTTTACTCCCGGTGACATCATTAACAGGCTTGCTGGGAGCTCAATTCCTGTTGACACACTCCAGAGCTATATCAACTAAGAGCTTTTTTCCTACACCCAATGTGTTGGCAGTTTTCAAGACAACAGCTTTGTTTTGCTAGATAAGAAATCAATATATGCATGGGGCCAAAGAAGGGTACGGTAGGTGGGGGTTCTGTAGTTCAGCAGCCAGGGCTGACAATATTGGTTGACATTTAACTACAGAAAAAGTTCAGAGCACACTAGGTTTCTAAACAGATCCGCAGATATATTTTTTGGTACTTGTAGTGTTTTAATGAACTAAAACTTGAGGAATGTGCATTTATTTGAGGGATGTATTGAATATGTTTTTAATTTGCATAGCAGCTCACCCAGTGAAAGTGCTGTTACATTCCTTCTGTGCAAATGGGGCAAACACACAAATGTTGTTAGACGATTTACTAAGCTGGACAAATGTTTTTCACTAAAAAAATAAAAATAGATATATACCACATTTGGCCACTAGATGGTGATAAGTGTATTCCATTTTAAATCAATGTAAAACATTCAGCCAGCACAGAAAAAAAGTCTATTAACACTCGTTTTTGCCCTTTTAGCACATAGTAGATGTACATGCACTTTCACTGGGTGAACTGATATGCAATATTTTAAATAAATACAGCTCCTAAAAATCATAACATCTGATCTGTAGACCTTTTCCAGGGCAGTTACGTAGAACAGGGGTTTTCAACCAGGGTGCCGCATCATCGATTGCTAAGGAAAGGTCGGGTTGTGCACCCGGATTTGCCAGCAATAGTTCCCATTAGCAACAGAGAGGGGAGGAGAAATGGAATGTGCACTCCCTTCTCTCTGTACACAGAAGTTAACAATGGCCATGCAGGGCAACTTTGTATCCAGCCTGGCACTGGGTAAATGTCCCTGAAGTGTCCTTTCTACTCGCCCCACCCCCCAGACTATTCCCACCCCTCCCTCTTAGCTCAGCCTGAGTCTCTTCCCCTGCATGTGCTGCCCCCCTCCCCAGGCACCTCTGCAGGTGGCTGCTGGGTGAGTAGTGTTTCTTTCTCAATGGATGAGTCCTGCCTTGAGCAAGGCTTCACCTGCCCCCCCTCCACCTCTGACAACTTTCCTTGAGTGTCAACTGCTGCAGAACCTCTTGGGGGTGGGTCCACTGCGTACTTTAGTGTGGCACAGTGATTGCCCTCAACAATAACGTCCACCTGCCTCTCCACCCTTAGCAATACCCTCAACCTAGCTCTCCACCCTCAACAATAATCTCCACCTGGCTGTCCACCCTTTACAATACCCACCTGCCTCTCCACCCTCAATAACCTCCACCTGGCTCTTCACCCTCAACAATAACCTCCACTTGCCTCTCCACCAACAATAACCTCTTTAATACTGCAGTACTCTGCACCTGCTTGTGTGAGCAAGTCCTCAGACTGGTGTGCCCGGGATTGTGTGCAGTTCTAAAGGGTGCTTTGACTAAAAAAGGTTGAAGAGCACTGACTTAGAAAGCACTGAAACCACTCGACCAGCATAATTACCAGGCAACTAGCACACTATAGGTTGAAGTCAGAAATGTCAGCCACCATATTTCTCTGAGCCCAGACCTCTTTGAAAGAAATCATGTTTTCAGAATTATAAAAATGTTGAATAGTTTTTATTTTGTCATATTTTTAAATATTGCATATGTAAAAGTTATACCCTTATTACTAGCCAGAAAGCTTTGATGAAAAAAAAAAAAAAAAAGTCTTTTCATTAGAGAGTTCAGTAGCCAAAGCTTCATTAGAAACGAGGTTGCTTGAGTCAGAGAAGTGACTCAAAAAAAATGGTACAGCTCTCTCTATACATAGTTTCAATTAGAAAGGAAAAAGATCCTGCTCTCTCTTTAGAAAACCCATGATGCTTTTTGATACCATGTGTTATGGGTTCACTATGGGCCGGTTCACACTATAAATCACACAAAGAACATGCTGTGTATTCCTGTGCAATTCACATGGGATTCAGGCGCAGTGCGATTTTGGCCCAATCATTTAAATGGGCTGACATTACGCCAGACCACACCAAACATAGTGCATGCACTACTTTCCAAAACACACAATGACTGGATCTCAAATGTACCATGTTTTGCAAACCGATGTGATGTAAAACATATCTTTAAAAACAAACAAAGATTCATGCAAAACCATATTAGTTTAAATAAAGAACACTGTTCAACAGGTAAAAAGTTTTGGGCATAAAATTAGCTAATCTTACAATGAAAACGAAAATGACCCTAAAAAAATGTTGATTGGCTCTAGTTTCCATGATATATTCACCCATCTAATGACTAAGCCATTCAAAATTATGATGCAACTTCAGCTGCATATTGCGCCAATGAAAATGCATGTTTACTGAGATGATGCAATATTAGCCTTTAATTGCATCACTTCACTGCATAAAAGCTGCAGTATCTGTAGCTGATTGTAGTTCAACAGCGTCTTTACATTTCGTTTTATGCTTATATAGGCTACTCAGTAATGCCTCGAACTTGGGTGAATAAAGCAGATAATTTCTGCTATATGAAATAACTTTTATCTCACAAAAAAGGAGGATAACAGGAATGATTGCCTGTGTATTTTGGCTGCAAGATAGGAGACCAGGACAAGCTGGGCACCACATATATGGGCAATTCTTGTGGGACGGCACTGGAGAGCAGGAAAAAAGGCATCTATGCCTTTCGCTGTGCCAATGATTTGGAGAGAGCCAACAGATCATGTTAGTAATTGTTACTTTTGTATGGTGCCTCCAATTGTAAAAGGGCTAAATAAGAAGAAAAAGTTATCTGTGCACTATCCAAATATTCCATCGGCAATATGTCCAGTTCCTCACCAATTCCTAAAGCACCAGAATCCTTCGTGGTTGAGTCAAGTGAGGAAGAACTGAAGCTGAAGCGTGTAGTCACGTGCAGTTGTAAGAGATAGCCCTTTCCTCGAATACAAGAGAAAAGCCAAGAAAAGCAAAACCCGACACAAACTGAAGACAAAAATGACTGATTCAAAATGTACCATGCAATATTTTGCCAACTTTGTTATGTAGTCAATATCACTTGCTTTATATTTGTATCTATTATAAAACATTATGTAGTCAACTATAGTAGAAAACTTTCCGTTTACAGAAAAACTAGAGCCAATTGACAAATTTCATTGTTATATTTGAATTCAGAATGTGAAATTCATTAGAAATTGATCCTTTTGTTTTGGCAAAAAATAAAAAATTTGTTGAACAGTGGAATCTGCCCTGTACCCAGAACCACATTTCTTGGCATAAAATCAAAGTCATAGCTGGTAACTGAAAATCCTTAGCCCACATACAGTATATGATATCTAGTAAGCCTATTACTTGATTCTAATATATTGCTTACTTTGTTCTCTTCTAGAGCTGTCTGGCTCAGCTATATCCAGGTTATCCATAGAGAATGCCCGGTTCTCCATTACAATAGAGGATGGCTCCTCAGAATGTCGATTCAAGATGTTCAGGCTGTCTCCTTCATACTTGTATCCAGACCTTGTCATCTCTGCAAGCTGTGGGATGGCATAGAACAAGATGAACACCCAGGCGTTTGCTGCCAGAGCTATGGCCAAAACTGGATCATCCCAAGATTTGTGGCCTAACTTCTCATTGCCATACAGATACATCACAATCCAGGCCACCCAGATGAGAAGAGACAGAAATGCAGTAGATACAATGTGTTTTCCATGACGCCTCCATTGTAAATAGTGTCCACGGAGCACAGAACAAGGGATCACCATTGATGCCACTATCAGGAACATAACATAAACTAATGCAGTCACAAAGTCCTGGTTCATAATGTTACATGGATGATCAGTATTTTGGAGAGTTTGTCGTACATTGGTAATGAGAAGCCATTCCACATTTATCACGGTCTCTACCAAGAAAAGTCCAATAGCCAGCAGAAACACTAAGCAACCTCCGGGGCCACGATTCTGAAGCACTAGGTAGTTGAGCCTTACTGAATTTGCCACGAGGCAAGCAAAACATTTGGCAAATAACACGCCAAACAAAAATCTGCGGATTATGCAGACTGTGGAATTAGGTGCGATGATAAAGGCAAACACTAAACAAAATAACCCAAAAACTCCAGTAAGAAAAAGAAAATTTAGGGCTAAAGCACCTTTGCGTTCATCTTGAGAAACAGAAGCAGAAAGGGCTATACATATTAATGTTAGGATTATTGTACACAAAATACCTAAAGCTGCCACAGATTCTAAGATAATACCCCAGACAGCTTCCAAATCACACAAGGAAAAGAAAATCCAATTCACATCCTGACCACAACCAGGAGGCAAAACTGTGACATTCGGGGAATTTGTGGATGTTGAATTCTGAGTGAGTGCTTCTCTTGCATATATCACCAGACATAAAAAAATCAGATGACGGCAACGAGCCATTTCCAGGTAAATCTATGGGGGAAGAAGAAAACAAAAATGACTATGACATAACTCACTCATTTTTCAAATACAAAAGGTTGAAAGAACTGCTCCAGATAATTTTATTAAGCGGATTTTAGTTCATTTTGTTTTCCTTCAACATCCCTCAAATTATTTTTCAATTAAAAAGGCAAAAATACAATGCATTTTCAGTGAGCAGGTAATTTATTTATTTCTCAGTTTACATTAACATTTTGGTAAATTCTTCTGGTTGCAGTTTTATAACAAAGTAAAAGTTACAAGCATTTGCACCTAAGGTGCTAGACTATCCTCAGAAACATCTAATTAGTGCAACCATCATGGCCACCCAGGGCTTGACTAGTGTCATCCTATATAACACAATCTAAAAGTATATATATAAAATCAAGTCATACCCCCCTTCAAACAAAAGCTCATCTCCCACCGCCAACACTCTACCCATGCAGTCTTGTTCTCAAATGGTAGGTACATAGTGTGCTTTTTTAGTTCAGTAACATGGTTAAATAATGAATATTTGTGGAATTCCCAACCTCTAGGGTGCCAGACTATCACACTCAGTAAATGAGTAATAATTTACAATACATATTTTGAGACCTTTAGGGAAGTTTCTTACACAGAAGAACCATTATAACATGTACAATTCCAGTCATAAGTTAGGTCTCAAGAAGCGGTGGAGAGAGACAATAACCATGACTGCCAAACTTTGTCAAATGTTTTGGGACAGCCCCTGGATAAATAGGCCCCTGTAGAATAGTACCATGGAATGACTTTATTATTTGTACGAAGTACACCGTAGGAGCCATTGTTTTTTTTTCCCATGCAAAATAATAGCTTTATGGGGGTAAAAGAATAAAATATTAAGTAAAAGTTAGTTGGAACAACTCCCTCCACCAGGCCCACTACTAAATTGGCAACTGAGCCCAAGATGAGAGCTCAGCTGAGCTAGGCCTGAAGGCAATGGAGAAGTCTAAAGCTTGATGAGAATATTAGACAAATGATCATCCATTTTTGTAGTATGCTAGTCTCATATAGAACGCAAAGAGGTTACTAAAATTAAGAAAATTCTCATATGACTGAATACTACTTCAGACGTGATGTAATGTATTCTTACGTTTCCAAGCATGCGTGGTCTAGGTCACTCGATTACTGTACGGATTAAAATACAATACAAGAATGAACAATTTTCTAAGAAAAAATGTTCATGCTTGTCCCTTCGGATAATTTCACATGAACTGTCATGATCGGCTCTTGAAAGCTGTGTACTAACGATCAGATTATTGGATGCTCACTTCAAAAGTGGTATTTTTCATCTGATTTTTTCATCATGTATATTAGGCTTAAGGCATTGTCTAAGATATTGTTATAATCACTTGTGAAAATGGGAGGAAGATGCATATATGTTGACAGTTTAGCCAGCAGCTCAAACATTAACGACCGTTCTATTGAGGAGATGCAGTACTACAGCCACATATCTTCCCCCAGGATCAGAGATCACTTGGTGAACTGTGCAAGGAACCAGGGGCGGACTGACCATTTGGAAACTCGGGCACTGCCCGAGGTCAGTAGGGGGCCCCATGAGATGCCCCTGGTCCCTTTTTCATAGGCTTTTTTGAGTTTGGGCAAGGACACAGGGGCCCCATGATCCCCTATTGCCCAGGATCCCAATGAGCTGTCAGTCCGCCCCTGCAAGGGACTGATTTACTGATTAAGACAGATGTACCTGTTGCATACGACGAGTAAGTGGCATGTAAAGCCATTTGAATTCAAGACCACTGCAGGGCCAGCACCCTGCTCCCATCCAGATGGGTCTCCTGCAGGTAGCTGACATGTGGCTTAGGAGGCTTGAGATATTGGAATGTTGAGGCTCTTTCTAATGTATTGTTGAATTCCCTGACATTCCAGGAGATCATTCTAAGCATATTGGTCCTGAGATGTACCTTTATATATAATTCTCAGGAGAAAGAGCAGCTTTATATCTGAAAAACAAACTAGGAGAAACCACTGCTAAAAGCACTGCTCAATGGACATAGAGAACCGACTGCAAAATATTGGAGTAGTCCAAACAAAAATCACAAAAATTTACCCTGTTATACTAAAGAAAAAAAAAACAAAACATCCACCTAAACAAATTTTTTTTAGCAACTTTCACATTTATTCGTTTTTATTTTTAAGGTTAAATTCATAGAATTACTGTATAGTTTGTGCTCACTTTGCAGTCACAGATCGTGGCTCCTGGACCTTGCCTGGCTCCAATGTCCATGAAAATATAGCTCCATAGCTTGATTGTAGCTTTACTTATAGCTCAAGAAACAGTCAGGTATCAATATGGAAACTTTGATGTGTTGCGCACGTGAGAGTGCTTATTCATAAAGGTCCCTCTAGGGAAGTCATTGTTCATATTATTATATGACTGTGCCTCTTAAGCTGTTAATAAACCTACAAATGAACATTTGAGCAGTATAAACCCATTTTTTTTTTCTTGGAGTCTTACCTTGTAAATTGTAGGCGGCCAACCATATTTAATCGCAAAAGTGCTGACCAAGGGGCATATGTATCCTTGCCCCTAAGCCTGGTCCACACCTCCTCTCATCCCATTCCAGCCTCTGAGTTTTAGTTACAGATGCAATGTTCCTTTGCCAGCAAGCAGGCTTTTTCAAAAATGCATGGTAACTGTGCCAGAATGTATAGCTTGGGGTTAATTCCTAAACCTAGGAAGCAGGAGATTTAGAAACCAAATCAAGCAATCTTACTTGGTTTTTGCTCTCTCCACTTCCCCCAAACTTCTCCCAAATGTGACCTAAAAGGTCAAGAGTACTAGTATATTGTTCCTACCAAAAATTCCCTGCTTACTGACCTACAAACAGTTCTATAAGCAGCGTCAAGGATTATTTAGACATTCTTTCTACGAGGCAGGGAGGCATGTGTGTTACTAGTGAGCAAAATGAAGTATTAATGGTTTTATTTACTTTCAACAACACGTACATTTGCACTTCAATAAAATGTAATTTTTAGAACATTATTTACAGATATGTGGATCTTGGTTATGGTCTGTAACTGGCTATATCAAGCCAAAGTGAAAAAAAGCAATAAGCTGACTATAGAAACATTCCATGGATGCCAACAAACTGTAGATGTTACTTGGATGCAAAAAAACAGCAAATTTTCATATCGAAATAATGGAGTTCTGCAAAAAAAAAATAAATTTTTTTTTCTGCTGCGTTTCTGCTATTTATAAAATATTAGTAGTGTATATAAACTTTTTTTTTTTTTTTTTAAGTTGGTAGATGGGCTTTATATGGTTATCCCTGGAGCCTGTTATACGGAGAAGATTATTTTCAGGCCCTTGCTGGGTAAAGCCAAGTATGCTATAATGTGATTTTCATCACTAGGAGGCATTATGGTCTTTATTATCTGTGAAGTTCAGTATCCCATAGCAACCAATCATCTGTGTGTGATTTTTTTTTTTACTACTCTGAAAGGCCAGAAAATTAAATATGTTTAAATAATTGAAACACTAGTATCTCCTAATGGCACAATATTTCATAAAATACACAAGGCAAGTGGTTACATTTGGTGTACACATATACAAAAAGTAAGCTTCTAGTAGTGGTGAGTCTTTCAGAAAAAGTACTCAAACAAGCAAGAGGAATTTTTATTAAAGATCTGATCTGTATTTATAAAAAAAAAAAAAACAAAACAAAAAAAAAAAAAAAAAAAATTGTTTGGTAAGGTCTTAAACAAATTTAGGGGTTTATAAGCACAGTGGATAAATGGTTAGCACTTCCGCCTGCCAGTACTAGGGTAATTGGTTCGAATCCCAACCCCGGCACCACCTGCCTGGAGTTTGCATGTTCTCCCTGTGACTGCGTGGGTTTCCTCCGGGTACTCCGGTTTCCTCCCACCTCCAAAGACGTGCTGGTATGTCCTGTCTAAATTGGCCCTAGTATGTATATGTATGAATGCGAGTTAGGGACTTTAGATTTGGGGTTAGGGACTGATGTGAATGTACAATATATATGTAAAGTGCTGCGTGATGGCGCTATATAGGTAGCGTAAATAAATAAATGAGCTGCTTTTGAGGTCTTTTGCTTGCAGAGTAGACAGTGCTCTGTGGGAACCACCTAGAACCACATGGAGTTTCATAATTCCTCCAATTTATCCCTGTCATTGACAATGAAGTTTCAATTAGGAATTTGTTTTCCATGGTAAAGTAGCGCCAAAGATACTTTTAGGATATTTAAATGTACATATATTTTTTTTTTTTTAAATTGCACTAACGTGATTGGTGTGATTTCTCAATTTGACAAAGAATATTCTGCCAGGCTAGAGAACTATATTAAATCACCCACCCTGGTTGTTAAATTATCCATGATCCTAGACTGCATTTAATTATGGTAAGCAGCTAGAACAATCACTTGATTTTATAATCTTTTGCATACATCTGTGTGCCAAGACATTGCTAGGAAAAGCCAAATAACATTTCATCTTGTAAGGTATATGATTCCTTCAGGGTATAGTGACAGATTAGGTTAAATATTTAATTGCCTTTAGATAAAGTAGCACATTCACAATAAGAGCACAATCCCACTAATGAAAGGAAAAGTGATTGCGCAAATTAACAACATTTCTTTAAAAAAGCACAGAAAGTTTACACTTCAGCTGAGTCACAGTCACACATTTGATGCCTCATGCTGACACCAGCTCAGCCTGTTTGATCAATTAAAAATCTGCTTTCAGTGTTAATCACCTGAGCATTTGGAAAGATGTTTTAACAAGGAAAGCAATGTATTGTAATGCTAATTTAAGTGATTGTAGGTGCAATTACAAACATTAGCCCTTTGACCGAAACTGAATAACTTTTAGGGGGCTTACTGAAACATGGAGTAAATCATTAAAGGAGGCAGGGGACAATAAGATTAACAATTTACTGTGCAAGTTAGTCTGTGGTGGTCTGATGGTGTCTATAGAGAAAACAAGAGGAT